ATTTCTTGCTTTCGAACTGCTAGGTTGGCAGGAGCTGGAACTAGAGACGGGAGCTCACTCCGTCATGCGGCACACTCGGGTCTCGAACTGCTGAACTACCGACCTTCCACAGCCTGCAGTTCAGCGTCTTAACCACTCGAGCCACCGCAGCTCCTTGTTGTATGGATAAAATGGAGGAAATGATGTAAGCCGCTTTCGGGTCCCCACTGGGGAAAAAGGTGGAGTAGAATTAGGATTGCCTAATCCCCCTGATGGGGGTGGGGTTTTCCCCGCTTTCAGAGCCCCAATCTGCAGTCGCCGAGCTGACTGGCGGGGGGAGCCCTGCCCCTGAGCAACCCCATCTGCGCTGATGTGCCCGGTGCAATGATGTAATCTGGAGGTGACGTCGTTGTGCAGGGCTCGTAGCGGGGGGGGGGGATGCTCTATCATTTGAGAAAATACTCTATGGTTACCATAGAGTTTTTCCTCAAATGCTAGAGCGTCCCATGCAATGTGCCCTGTGCGATGATGTCACCTCCAGATGACGTCATTGTGGCATGTGTACAAAGCACGCCGAAGAGTCCCAGAAGATGAGACCCCCCCCACCGGAACACAGTAAGGACCTGGCAATCCTAGGTAGAATCTTAGAATCATAGAGTTGGAAGGGACCTCCAGGGTCATCTAGACCAACCCCTTGCGCAATGTAGGATATTCGCAACTACCTCCCCCCCACACTCCCCAGTGACCCCTGCTCTATGCCCAGAAGATGGCAAAAACCCCCCCCCCCCAGGATCCTTGGCCAAAGTGGCCTAGAGAAAAGTTGCTTTCTGACCTCAGTGGAGTATACATGAAATAAATAAATAAATAATAGTGATTAGGCTAGGATCTGGGTTCAAATTCTCACTGAGCCATCAAGTTTGCTGGGTGACTTTGGGCCAGTCTCTCCCCCTCTCTCTCTCTTTCTCTCTCTCTGTTTCTCTCTGTGTCTCTCTGTCTCTGCCTCACAGGGCTGTTGTGAAGGGTGAGACAAGCGTGTAATAGATGGATATAAACGTGATTTTGCAATAAACTAAACAGAATTTAAAATACATCCTGTGTTACTTTTTATCAGCTAGGCTATTTACATTTGAGCCCTTTGCTTGTTCTATAGTTTTGTTTCTGGGTGTGTGTGTGAGGGGCAGGAAACGTTACCACGACTTTGTAAAAAACAACCCAGTTTATTTATTTACAACTATACACAGGTCGAGAGAAACAATGTTAATCTGCAAGAGAAAAGGAGAAAAGGTCCATATTATGTTAAAACACTGGTGCCTAGAAAAAGAGAAGTCTGTCCCTCTTTGGAAAGAATGCTCGACTGGGCCGGGTGTTCTCGGACACGGGTTGAGAATGACAGATGGGTTATTCTTAAGATTGCCCGAACGTCACTGCAGGCCAACGGAGAGTGGGAAAGATCTTGTCCATTTCAATCTATTAGCACTCCTTGGGCGATAGAGCGGTTTGATCCAGAGCAGATCCGGCTTCTTCACATTCCCGCTTTAACAACAATGAAGGTGCTGCAAAAAAAGGCCTTAAAAGACAAGGTGCTACACAGCAGTTGTATCGGAAACAACAAACCCCGCTTTGTCTTACGATCTAAAAAAAGACAACATTGTGGGGGTCAGGCGGGGAGGGGGACTTAAGAGGAAGGGAAGAAGGAGGCGATGAGCGCTGAGGTCAAAGGTCGACAAAGAAGTTTCCGAACACAGGTCAAGCCAGAGGTCCAGACCTGACAGCACAATCCTAAACAAAGTTAACCCATTCTAAGTTCCTTGACTTCCACCGGCTTAGAAGGGTGTAAACTCTCCTTAGGACAGAACTGCAAATATGGCTGTTTAAAAAAAGCACCACAGTATCTTTCCCCAAAGGTATGCTGGAGGGGATGCTAGAAGGACCAGAGTGCGAAGGAAAATGACAGGCAGAGACTCTAATGGGGTCAAAGGGCTTCTCAGAGATGCTTTAGAGAAAGGGAAATCAGAAAATCTGCAGAAAACCATGCACAGATTTATACCTGTGCACTGAAACGGTTGCGCAGGGTTCTCTGGACCCAACTTGGGTTTCCTGCAGCTGTACAGCGACTGTGGGAAATGGCTTTTGAAGGAAATAAAAGAGAGACCCAGTAATAACTTGAATGGCTTGCAAAAAGGAACAGAGGTAGGAGTGTAACAATTAACACATGAGAAATATGGGCGAACCGGAGCACGGGGGAAACCGAACAGGCAGCACGGTTGGTGAGAGTGAATCGGAGAGAGGCATATGAGAAAGAAGAGAATTACAATAAAGCCAAGGAAGAAATGCTTTGATATATGTTCTGATGGGCTTAGTTTGTCCCGATGGCTTTGTGCAAGAAATAAAACCTGACTGAGGTCCAGTCTAGATCAACTTTGTTTTTAATGCAACGAATGGTGTCCGAAATGTCCTCATGTGCAGGAGGTTGTGGATAATGGGCAGGGTCCTACAGATCTGTTGGGTGGGTGAGCGAGGAACTTCCTCCAGTAGGAGAGGTCTTCTCCTGATACAAGAGACTCTTAAGTAAGGGGAAAGCATTTTGCACCAAAGAATGTGTGGGGGATTCAACCTCCGTTTGAACTGTGTGGTGAAGTTTCTTTTTTAAAAAAATGGTTCTCTTGCGGTGGTGGGCCTACATTTCTTGGGACCCTGAAGCTTGAACTGTTCTGGGGGGCCCTTCTCAATTAGCGACAATAGGGTAACATCCAACAAGGTCCAAAGAAGAAGAAGAGATTGGATTTATACTCCGCCCTTCACTACCCAAAGGAGTCTCAGAGCGGCTTACAAACTCCTTTCCCTCCCCCTCCCCACAACAGACACCCCGTGAGGTAGGTGGGGCTGAGAGAGCTCTGACAGAAACTGCTCTTTTTCAAGGACAGCTGTGCCAGAACTGTGGCTTGCCCAAGGTCATCCAGCAGGTGCAAGTGGAGGAGTGGGGAATCAAACCCGGTTCTCCCAGTTTAGAGTCCGCGCACTTAACCTCTACACCAAACTGGCTCTCACCGACTGAATATCTCCCTGGTGCAAAATGCACAAGGTGCCCGGCCTGTCGAAAAGACTGCTGTCCCCTGCATTACAAATCCAACACGGCACCCGTGCATGATACGTGTTACAAATAGCGCATGAAACCAGGGAACCGCACATGGCTTGTCTAAACTAGGCTACAGTGACTGTGTGTCAAGGAATTGGTGCAGGTTTCAAAGGCCAACGAACAAAACCGAAGCACATGGCAGCCCTTTGTTTCTGGCATCTGTCGGTCAGCTTGGGTGTGACTTCCAGAGGAATCCCAGCCACATCCCGCGGCCCTCAGAATGACAGGTTATCAAGGCTCTGGCCTGGGAGACGGCCCTGCATTCGGGTTTTTTTTTACTCCACCCTGGAATGTGATGGGTTCAGCCCAGAAACGAGGGTTGACACACCTGTTTTTCGACAGGCCGGGCACCTTGTGCTTTTTGCACCAGGGAGAGATTCAGTCGGCGAGGCCTCCCTCCCTGGCGTGCAGAGGCCTTGAAAGCTTGACCTGTTGGATTCCTGCCTGTTCTGCCACTGTCAACGTTTCCTTGCAGTTTCTTGCAGTCACATGGATTTTTTATTTTCAGAGGGGGGGGGGATTCCACATTTTGCACACAGGACATGAGAGGAGGTTATTTTCTTCTTCCACACCAGTTCGGTTGGTAATGGTTGATTGGACCCGTGGTCCCTGTGGGTGGGGTGTGTGTAGATTAATTTTTAATCCTTTCCCACTTGCAGGGCTCCCAGCTCTGGGTTGGGAAATACCTGGAGATCTTGGGGGTGGAGCCTGAGGAAGGGGTGGTTTGGGGAGGGGAGGGACTTCAATGGGGTAGCATACCACAGAACCCACCTTCCAAAGCAGCCATTTTCTTGTAGGTGAACCGAGCTCTGCCCCCTGAAGATCAGTTGTAATGGCGGAAGATCTCCAGCCGCCACCTGGAGGGTGGCAACCCAGGCCACTTGCCATTTACCCAGCTCTAAATGGTCTTCTGTGTTCCCGAGCTTCCGTAAGCCCCACATCAGAAAAAAGGTGTTTATCTGTGTCTTAAAAAGGATTAAAAGCCCCATAAGAAAATGCTCCTTCACTTCCTAAAGTGTTGACTTATCTGGTTTTAGCTTCAGAGTCCAGTGTGATGTCGTGCTTTGAGGACTGGGCCGGCCACCAAGAGATCGGGGTTCAAATTTACACTCAGCTATGAAACATGCTGGTTAACTCTGGGCCATGTCTCTCTCTCTCTCTCTCTCTCTCTCTCTCTCTCTCTCTCTCTCTCAGTCTAATCTACCTCACAGGATTGTTGTGAGGATAAATGAAGGAAAGGAGACCCACAGTCTCCTTGGAGGGCAGGCCGGAGGAAAATGTGCCAGATAGATTAATGAAAGTCACTATGTTTTCCTCTCTCCGTTTTTCTTATTTAATCTGCTCAGATTTTACAGTATCTTTATAGACTTGCGTGCCTGCAAGTCATGGTGACTTCTGGTGACCCCTAGTGGGGCTAGGACATTTCAGAGAGGTGTTTTGCTATTGCCTGCCTCTGCATCCCAGCCCTGGTATTACTTGGAGGTCTCCCTTCCAAGTACTTGCCAAGTTCTGACAAGATCAGGCTTGCCTGGGCTATCCAGTTCAAGGTCTGAAGGTGAAGTGGCTTTTGACTACTACAATAAGCAAAGAAGAAGAAGAGGAGGAGGAGGAGGAGGAGATTGGATTTATACCTCACCCTTCACTCAGAGTCTCAGAGTCTCCCTTCCTCTCCCCATAACAGACACCCTGTGAGGTAGGTGGGGCTGAGAGAGCTCTGAGAGAACTGTGACTTGCCCAAGGTCACACCAGCTGGCTGCATGTGGAGGAGCGGGGAATCAAACCCGGTTCTCCTAGATTAGAGTCCAGGCTCCTAACTACAACATCAAACTGGCTCTCTGAGAATCATGGCACTTGCATGTACAAAAACCCTATGGAACAGGGGCGGTAGAAAGGAGGAGAATTGAGTGAGATTCAGTAAAACGGATGGCCAGATCCAGCCCAATATTATGAGACAAACGGGAGTGATCAAAACTTCCATCATTCCTCTGGCTTTAGGGTGAAGGAGCCGTTTCCCTTTTGCCATGCTCTGTGGCCGGGTTGCCCACGGAGTTCCCGTCCAGCCACGTGTCCACATACTTGTTGACGACATAAATCGGAATGTCCACCTCTTTTTCAGTCCCTGGGTGGACCTTCTCATTGGCAGGCATGGTGAATGCCTCCTCCTCCTCCTCTGGAGGGTGGTGGAACTCCACGCAGAGCTGGTAGACGGCAGTGCCGGTGGCCGAGCCCACCATCGGTGCCACGATCGGAACCCACCACCAGTAGTTTCCAGCACTGGAAAAGAAAGGATGAAATAAGGATGGATGCCAGCAAGGTTATCCAGTACGGTGCCAAGAGGCTTCTAAGTGCTTTAAGAAGCTGCATTGGCTGCGATCGATTCGATTTCGCCCTGGGATCTGCAAAAACAGCAGTTCCCAGATTTCTGATAGCTGACCCAAATTGATGGTCTAATAGTTGAAAATGGTTGAAAAGTTTGAGTCCAGCGGCACCTTTAAGGAGAACAAAGTTTAATTCTGGGTATGAGCTTTTGTGTGCATGCACACCTCTTTAGATATCTTATCTGAAGAAGTGCGCATACACACAAAAGTCGGACCAGAACCAACGGACTAAAATTAAATCAGAAATGTTTTTGGCTAAACATTAGGAAGAACTTCCTGACAGTTTGAGCGGTTCCCCAGTAGAACAGGCTTCCTTGGGAGGTGGTGGGCTCTCCTTCTTTGGAGGTTTTCAAATGGGCTAGACACCCATCTGACAGCCATGCTAATTCTGTGAACTTGAGGAGTTAAGCAAACAGAGTATGGTACACAGTATATGGATATTACACTACTCAGAGATTATTACTGTGATAAGTGCGCTAAACTAAATAATACAGGACTGCAACAATCAAGAAATATATGCTGTTTAAATAAGTTAAGGTGATATGCTTTTTTCACAAGGTTGGAATACAAAAATACAGTCAGTTTCAAATAGAAGTGGTTTTTAACAAAGCAAATGATGTTAACGACGTGCTCTGGAAAAGGCATTCCATTTGACTGTAACTCGCCCGAAATGAATTTTCTACTCGCGATTGTGCTTTGTTATTGTAATGTATTCAGCCTGACATGCCCGGACTTGCCCGGGCTGGCCAGGCACAACTCTTCAATAGCTTCATGTCCAAAGACAATGGGTCCGTAGGATCCTAGCCGGCCCAATCAAAGGGCCAGCTTCTCAGCCGGGAGACCAATGGTCGCCCGGTTACTGTAAATAGCCTATCGGGAGTAGGGGGTGTGTTTAGGTGTACTTGGTGGCGGGTTTTCTGAACCTATATAACCAGCCTGCGAGCTGGTCCCTTCGTCTTTGTCCTGAACTAAATAAAGGTATGCTTAGCTGAAATCACTCTCCGTCTGCATACTTTTCACTGGCGACGAAGGTGGGATCTACGACCCCATGAACAAAGACCCGGACGCCAACGCGAGCACCGCACCGAGCCCCGACGCCGAGACCTCCGGGAACCGCGCCGCTTCGCTTCCCAGCTCTCCGGCAACCGCTCATCGCGCAGCTCCCGGCTCCGCTTCGCTCCCTGCTGACCCCGAGAGCAGCAGCGGCCTCCACAACGCTCCCGACGCCATCGCCGTTCCAGAGGCCACCCCACCACGTGGCTGCAACACAATGGCGACCGCGACCGCAACTGAAAGCCTGCCCGCTTTCGATCTCTCCCAGCCCTCGCTGTGGGACACCTGGCTGGACACGCTGGAGAGCCGCTTCACCATCCACAAGGTGGTGGATGACGCGATGAAGAAGGCTTACCTGCTGAGCCACTGCGGAATCCAGACCCATCGGCTCCTCAAGGACTTAATCTCGCCCAAACTAACGAAGGACGAGTCATACAGCTCCTTAGTCCAGGCCCTGACCGACCATCTGGCTCCCAAACCCACGAAGTACGTGGAGCGGTTGGACTTCTTCGCAAGAGTTCAGGGCCCCAGCGAAACCACCTCCGATTTTCTGGCGGCGCTGCGGAGCCTGGCGACCCGGTGCTCCTTCCCCAGCCTCGACGATACCCTCCTGAACCAGTTCCTCGTCGGACTCCGGGAGCCGAAGCTGCAGAGGAAACTGGTGAGCCAGAACGATCTGAGCCTGGACAAGGCCATCCGGGAGGCCTCAGCATACGAACAAGCGCGACAAGACCGCCGCGCCAAGGCGGTCCACCGTACCCAAGTGAGCAGCGGCTCCGACGTCTCGGACCAAGAGGAAGTCCTGCAACTCCGACAGCGGACTCAGCAGCGACCAAAACACGCATCCTCCAGGACCAACAAGGCCCCGTCTCCAAGCCAGTGCGCCAGCTGCGGGGAGGGCCACGAACGCCGGTCGTGCCGTTTCCGGAATGCGGTCTGCCGCTCCTGCAACAAGGCCGGACACATCGCCAAGGTCTGCCGGTCCCAGGGACAACGACCGAGATCGGCCACCCACCAGACCACCGCGGAACTGCCCCTGGAGCTCCACACCGTGTCGTCCCACTTCCCACAGCACCAGGTCTGTAACCTGCCCCCCGACGGCCCAAATAAAATGCATGTGACGGTCCTCATAGAGGGAGCCCCCTGCACCATGGAGATCGACACCGGGTCGACCTACTCCATAATATCCGCGGACACGCTCCGTTCACTGTGTCCTCAGGGGGGGCCACCACTACAGAAGTCACGGGGTTTCCGGTTACGGGACTTTAACAAAAACCCCGTGGCGGTGGTGGGCTGGGGCAAGTTCCGGGTCCAGTTTCAGGGCTTCAAGGGCCAACTGGACCTACTGGTTGTGGACCGCCCCCTCTCCAGCTTGTTGGGACTGGCCTGGTTCAAGGCCCTGGGGCTCTCCGTTACGGGCATCAACCAGGTTGGAGCACAGGATTTCGGGGCGGTGTGTGCAGAATTCCCCCGCGTCTTCGATGGGACCCTGGGGCGGTACACGGGCCCCGCCATCTCCCTGGACCTAGACCCAGCGATACGCCCCATACGCATCAGGTCCCGGCTGCCCCCGATCTCCATGAGGCCGAAGGTGGAGGCCGAGCTTGATCGCCTGGTTGAGCAAGGCGTGCTAGAACCTGTGGCGTCGGCCCGGTGGGAAACCCCCATTGTCACACCAATCAAGCCGAACGGGGACGTCCGCATCTGCGCGGACTATAAATGTACCATAAACAAAGCCCTACAGCCCCACGCATACCCGGTGCCGGTAGTAAGCCAAGTGCTGGCGGCCCTGGCCGGGGCCCGGGTGTTCGGCAAACTGGACTTGGCCCAGGCGTACCAGCAGCTACCGGTGGACGCCGCCACGGCCGAGGCCCAGACCATTGCGACCCACAAGGGGGCCTTCAAAGTGCACCGCCTCCAGTTCGGGGTCTCAGTCGCGCCGGGGATCTTTCAATCTTTTATGGATTCCCTTCTTAAAGGCATCCCCGGAGTTCAGCCGTTTCTAGACGACGTGCTGATCGCCGCGCCAGACCCCTCGTCCTTCGCAGACCGTCTGAGGGCCGTTTTACAGCGCTTCGACGCGGCGGGCCTCAAGGTGAAACGGGAGAAGTGCCTACTGGGGGTGCCGCGGGTGGAGTTTCTGGGCTTCGCGGTGGACGCCGCCGGCCTGCACCCCTCCCAGGACAAGGTAGAGGCCATCACGCACGCCCCGGCCCCGAAGTCCAAGACGGAGCTACAGGCGTTCCTGGGCCTAGTGAACTTCTACCACTCCTTCTTGCCCCTGAAGGCGGCCGTCGCAGAGCCGCTCCACCGCCTCCTCGACAAGTCAGCACCATGGGTCTGGGGGCCTCCGCACGCCGCGGCTTTCCAAACAATAAAGGACCTCCTGGTCTCTAATGCGGTCCTCGCCCATTTTGACGAGGCCCTTCCCGTGGTGCTGGCGTGCGACGCTTCTCCCTATGGGGTCGGGGCGGTCCTGGGGCACAGACTACCGGATGGTCGCGAGGTCCCGGTGGCCTACTACTCGCGGACACTGTCGTCGGCCGAGCGCAACTACGCGCAGATCGACAAGGAGGCGTTGGCAATCGTGGCAGGGGTGAAAAAATTTCACCACTACTTGTACGGCCGTCCGTTCACGATCCTGACGGACCACAAGCCCCTGCTGGGCCTCCTCGCACCCGACCGGCAGACACCGCAGATAACCTCGCCCAGGGTGCTACGCTGGTCCATCTTCCTGGCGGGGTATGCGTACGACCTCGTCCATCGGCCCGGACAGGCGATGGGCCACGCTGACGCTCTGAGCCGCCTGCCCCTCCCCAAGTGCGACCCGGACCCGGCCCCCGCGCTCCTGGTCGCGAGCCTGGAAGCCCTCACGGACCAGCCGGTCCATGTTTCGGAGGTGGCACGCTGTACCTCCAAGGACAAGACATTGGGGAGGGTCTTGGACTGGGTGGTGAGGGGGTGGCCCGAGGCCAAAGGAGACCAGGACATCGCCCCGTTCGCCACCCGGAAACACGAACTCTCAACCCACAAGGGGTGCTTGCTGTGGGGAAGCCGGGTGGTCATCCCCTCGCCTTTAAGGGAACGGGTACTCACCGCCCTGCACGAGACACACCCCGGGGTGGTGCGGATGAAAGCCCTGGCCAGGAGCTATGTGTGGTGGCCAGGACTGGACGCGGACATTGAAGGGGTGGTCAAGAGGTGCCAGCCCTGCCAAGCCTCGCGGCCGGAACCACCCCGAGCGCCCGAGAGGGCCTGGGAATCCTCCCACCGTCCCTGGTCCCGCCTCCATCTGGACTTTGCTGGACCCTTCCAGGGCAAGCTGTTCTTCATCCTGGTGGACGCATACAGCAAGTGGCTGGAAGTGGTCCCCGTGCCCTCCACATCCTCGCAGGCCGCAATCCGGGCCATGTGGAGGATCTTCAGCGGCCAAGGGATCCCCGACACGCTGGTCACGGACAATGGAACCGCGTTCACCTCGGCCGAGTTCCAGGCTTTCACCAGGTACTACGGGATCCGCCACGTCCGATCCGCCCCGTTCCACCCTGCCACGAATGGCCAGGCGGAGCGCATGGTGCGCACCACAAAGGACGCACTTCGCCGACTGGACTCCACCGATTGGGACTATAAACTAGCAGCCTTTCTCTTCGGACAGCGTACCACGCCACACACCACGACCGGCCGCTCCCCGGCCGAACTACTGCTGGGCCGCCGCCTGGCCTCCCGACTGGATCGGTTACACCCAGACCGAGCAACCCCGGAGGCCCCGGGCACCGAGACGTACGAGTCGGCCAGAGGGTTCTTTCCAGAGGACCCGGTGTACGCACGAAACTACGGCCGGGGGCCCCGATGGATCCCAGCCCGAGTCGTACGGGTCAAGGGCCCCCGTTCGTACGAGGTCTCCAGCGAGGATGGCCAGATCCTCCACCGGCACATAGATCAGCTGCGCCGTCGCACGCTACAGCTGGACCCTGAGGATCCGGACGAGGACCCAGAGCCTGCCACATCGGCCCCACTCCCGGCACCGGATCCACAGCCGCCTCTCCGTGAGGAACCCGAGGCACCTCCCACCGTGGTGCCAGACTGTCCTGCCTCCTCGGCGCCCTCGTCGGTCCCAGGCCCCTCGGCTCCCAGGGCCCCCGAGACCGAACCCATCGCTACCCCGGAGCCCCGACGCTCGACGCGCCCCAAGAAGCCACCCGCCTACTTGAAGGACTTCGTCTGTGGGTGCCTTCTGAACCAAGGGGGGAGGGGTGTAATGTATTCAGCCTGACATGCCCGGACTTGCCCGGGCTGGCCAGGCACAACTCTTCAATAGCTTCATGTCCAAAGACAATGGGTCCGTAGGATCCTAGCCGGCCCAATCAAAGGGCCAGCTTCTCAGCCGGGAGACCAATGGTCGCCCGGTTACTGTAAATAGCCTATCGGGAGTAGGGGGTGTGTTTAGGTGTACTTGGTGGCGGGTTTTCTGAACCTATATAACCAGCCTGCGAGCTGGTCCCTTCGTCTTTGTCCTGAACTAAATAAAGGTATGCTTAGCTGAAATCACTCTCCGTCTGCATACTTTTCAGTTATTGACCTATGAAGGAAAAATATGTGAGCACCAGGCTTCATTTCTACTCTTATAGATGAGACAAAAAACTGGAAATTATCTATAGAATCTTGTTCAGAAGAAGGAACGTCGAAACGACAGAGGACATTCCGGAGCACGTCTTAACATCAAGATTCTGTGAACTTGGGCAGATCATGAGAGGGAGGGCAGGAAGGGTTGCATCAGTGCTTGGTTCTCGTGGCCCTTCCTTACACGCCCAGGGGAATGCCGGTCGCCATTTTGGGACCAGGAAGCCATTTTTCTCCAGGCCATGGAACAGGGTATGGAACAGGGGTCACTGGGGGTGTGTTGGGAGGGTATTTGTGAATTTCTTGCCTTGTGCCGGGGGGTTGGACTAGATGACCCTGGAGATCCCTTCCAACTCTAGGATTCTATGATTCTATGAAAGCTTATACCCAGAATTAAACTTTGCTGGTCTCAAAGATGCTACTGGACAAATTTTGTTTTATTGCTTCAGACCAACATGGCTACCCACCCGAATCTATTTTCAGAGCATTTGTTAGAGTAAGGATTACCTGTCCTCAGAGTCTCTGTATTTTCTGCTTGAGTCACTGCCTCCAGGTCGAAAACAGGATGTCCCATAGCCGTGATTCCTTCTGAGGCACAACAGGCATCCTCCTCCTTAGGATTCTGTGGCATTTCTCCATCAGGAGTGACTAAACTGATTCACCCAACCAACTTGGAGGCTGATTCAGTCACTTCTCCTGCATCTCTTCATCAGCAATGTTCAGATCACGCCAGACATAGAAATGCCTCAGAACTCGTTGTTCCCTAGCTGAGGCTGATTTGAAGGGGACCATTTCTGAGTGGGGACTGATCCAGAGGCACAACGGATAGCTTCCTGTGCAGGTGGATTTTGCCGGAATCTGTCCATGTTTAATTTGTTTCTTTGCCTAGGGACAGAGCATGAGAATGACTGGCGCAAAAGCCATAATGAAGAGAGGGCTTCTGAGCACGGGCAGAGTCCCCTGCTCTAAAACATTCTGTGGTCGTGAACAAGTGTTCCCTCTAAGCTGAGTTAGTGTGAGCTAGCTCATAGTTTTTTAGCCTCCAGCTCACACATTTTTGTCTTAGCTCAGGAAGGAGGGCTCCAGAGCAAACTAATTCATGCAGTAGCCAAATTGCTTGCTCACAACTTTAATGCCAGTAGCTCACAAAGTAGAATTTTTGCTCACAGGACTCCACAGCTTAGAGGGAGCGTTGGTCGTGAATAGACTCAGGTGGGTCAGGAGACTGAATTTCAGCAGGTAGGATTTCTCGGCGAACCTGAACTGCAGCACCCATCTCTTTAGGAACAGAGCCGACTAACCCATAATTTGTTTCCAGTTCTTTGCTGGAAAGTTTAACACGTGGTTGAAAGAGTTTCAGAGGGGAGCCGTGTTAGTCTGTGGTAGAACAGAGGGATTGGAGCCCAGAAACACTGAGGAGGAGGAGGAGATGAAGATAGAGGAGGAGATGAAGACGAAGCAAAAGAAGAAGAGTTGGATTTATACCCGTCACTCAGAGTCAGAAAGGTAGAGAATCTAGACGAGTTAGGGAAATGGATCGTTCAGAAGGGACGTCACGCAACCCCTGAGAACCCGGCTCCTTTAAGGACAGGACGGCCCAGGTTAGACCGACCTCGTCAGATCTCAGAAGCTAAGCAGGGTCAGCCCTCTTTCCTCCTTGGATGGGAGTCCGCAGAGGAAGTCCAGGGTCGCTATGCAGAGGCGGGCAGTGGCAAACCCCTTCTGTTTGTCTCTTGCTTTGAAGGACCCTATGTGGCTCGGCGGCACTTTCCACTACCGCAGTGAGATCTGCCGTGAGCACCGGGAGTGAGACAGTTCCAGAGGGCAGCCATGTTGGTCTCCAGTAGAACAGCTAGATTTAGAATCATAGACTCATAGAATCATAGAGCTGGAAAGGACCTCCAGGGTCATCTACTCCAACCCCCTGCACAATGCAGGGAATTCACAAATACCTCCTCCCGACACACACCCAGTGACCTCTGCTCCAGGCCCAGAAGAAGAAGAAGAAGAAGAAGAATAGAAGAGATTGGATTTATACCCCACCCTTCACTCATAGTCTCAGAGCGGCTTACAAACTCCTTTCCCTTCCCCTCCCCACAACAGACACCCTGGGAGGTGGGCGGGGCTGAGAGAACTCTGACACAAACTGCTCTTTCAGGAACAGCTGTGCCAGAGCTTGTGACTGACCCAAGGTCACATCGGCAGGTGCAAGTGGAGGAGTGGGGAATCAAACCTGGTTCTCCCAGATTAGAGTCCACACACTTAACCACTACACCAAACTGACAAAAAACCCTCCAGGATCCCTGGCCAAACTGGCCTGGAGAAAAAGTGCTTCCTGACCCCAAAGTGGTGATCGGCATTTCCCCGGGCGTGTAAGGAAGCGGGCCACGAGAATGAAGCACTGAAGCAACCCTTCCTGCCCTCCCTTGCACGAGCTGCCCACGTTCACAGAGTCAGCATTGCTGTCGGATGGCCTCTGCTTGAAAACCTCCAAAGAAGGAGAGCCCACCACCTCCCGAGGAAGCCTCTTCCACTAAGGAACCCGAGTCCAGTAATAATGATTATTATTGTATGGCGTTGTGTGCAGAATAGCCAGGAGATCCTAAGATTGTCTGGCGGCTAGAAGTTCTAGCTCTTCTAGTGTTATGCACCACTAGGTGGCGAGCTAGATCGGTTTCTAAGGCAAGAGACCTTTCAGAGGTGGTTTGCCATTGCCTGCCTCTGCGTCACGACCCTGGTATTCCTCGGAGGTCGCCCTTCCCAGTACTAGCCGAGGGCAACCCTGCTTAGCTTCCGAGATCTGACGGGAGTGGGCAAGCCTGGGCTATCCAGTAGTGCCTCAGAGAACAACCAAGATTTTGCAGGTATGAGCTTTTGAGAGTCAAAGCTCCCTTTGTTTGCAGATTCAGATTAGAGGCTTCCTTTCCTCTAATGCTTGAAAGGTTGAGTGCTAGATCCCTCCGGCTTCTGACGAAGGGAGGGCTGACCCTTGAAAGGGGATACTGTGGAAATCTTGTTGGTCTCTAAGGTGCTGCTGTTTGGTGTAGTGGTTAAGTGTGCAGACTCTAATCTAGGAGAACCAGGTTTGATTCCCCACTCCTCTACTTGCAGCTGCTGGATGACCTTGGGCAAGCCATAGTTCTGAGAAGAGCTGTCCTTGAAAAAGAGCAGTTTCTGACAGAGTTCTCTCAGCCCCGCCTACCTCACAGGGTGTCTGTTGTGGGGAGGGGGAGGGAAAGGAGTTTGTAAGCCGCTCTGAGACTCTGAGTGAAGGGAGGGGTATAAATCCAATCTCCTCCTCCTCCTCCTCAAATCTAGTTATAATGAGATAAAAACCCTAAGTCCCTATTCCGTCCTGGGGGTCCTGGGGGGGTCCCCAGTGGTTGAAATGTTCAAGTGGTTGAAATGGACAAAGGACAGAACGCTTCTGGGAACAAACGCTCTCTTCCTCCCCCCCCATTCGTGCACCCACCTGAAAACCTGAGGGCCCCATCCGGCCACGTAGGTGAAGAGCCGGGGGCCCAAGTCCCTGGCGGGGTTGATGGCGCAGCTGCAGTTGGCCCCCATGGCCAGGCTGAGGGAGAGGACCAGCAGACCCACGGCCAGAGGCTCCAAACCTTTCGGGATGTTCTTGTTTCGGGAATCGATGAACGCTAGAATGCCCAACAGCAGCATCCCGGTGCCCAACACCTGTCGAGGCGAAAGAGGCCGGTCGTCAGAGAAAGCAGCACACGCACACACGGTCCTTCTCTTACAACAGGGGTCCCCCAACACAGTGCCCGTGGTCACCAAAGCATCTGCCAACACCTTTTCTGGTGTTTTTACAAAATGGGCGAGGCCAGGTGGGGCTCTTGTCCGGCAAGACTTCTGATTGGCTATTGGAGACTTGGCTTCTGATTGGCTATTGGAGATTTGGGGGTCCTTAGGAACTGTCTGCCCAGGGACGCGCGAAACCTGGAACAGGCCCTGATCCACAGTATGTTCAAGACAGGCAAGGGAAATGACTTCTTCATGCAGTGTAAGGATTCACTTCTGGAACTCCCTGACACAAGGTGTGATCATGGCTCACTGGTTTCAAAAGGGTTTAGACTAGGGTCCCCCAACCTTTCTGAGCCTATGGGCACTTCGGAGATTCTGACACCGTGTGATGGGCGTGTTACTGGTTTTGGCCTTTCCTGATCACCGACTTCTCTAATTTGTCCAAGCTAGGGCTACATTTAAGAACATAAGAACATAAGCCAATGTTGGATCAGGCCAATGGCCCATCAAGTCCAACACTCTGTCACACAGTGGCCAAAATTACCAGGGGCCATCAGGAGGTCCAGCAGTGGGGCCAGGACACTAGAAGCCCCCCCCACTGTTGCCTCCCCCCCCAAGCACCAAGAATGCAAAGCATCACTTGCCCCAGACCGAGAGTTCCTATCTATAGGTAAAGGTTTCCCTTGCTCGAAAGCTAGTCGAATCTGACTCTGGGGATGCGGTGCTCATCTCCGTTTCCAAGCCGAAGAGCCAGCGCTGTCCGAAGACGTTTCCGTGGTCATGTGGCCAGCATGACTAGACGCTAAGGCACACGGAATGCTGTTACCTTCCCATTGAAGTGGTACCTATTTATCTACTTGCAAATTCTTGCTTTGAACTGCTAGGTTGGCAGGAGCTGGGGCCAGAGACGGGAGCTCACTCCGTCATGCGGCACTCGAGTCTCGAACTGCTGACCCTTCTGGGCTGCAGGTCTGCAGCCTTGTGGCTCATAGCCACTGATGGACCTCTGCGCCGTATGCTTATCTAATCCCCTCTTGAAGCCGTCCGTGCTTGTGGCCGCCGCCACCTCCTGTGGCAGTGAATTCATGCGTCAATCACTCTTTGGGTGAAGAAGGACTTCCTCTTATCCGTTCTAACCCGACTGCTCAGCAATTTCATGGAGTGCCCACGAGTTCTTGTCTTGTGAGAAAGGGAGAAAAGTACCAGCCTTACCTGGTCCAAGAAGCCATTGTGCAGGGACAGGTAGGGGGCTGGATAGGTGGCAAAGATGGACGCCGTTTCCCGAGGGCCGGTGACTGTCAAGGTCCCATTGGTATAGTGTTGGATGGCATCTGTGGGGGGAAGACCAAGCGATCGTGAGGGCTAGTCACGCGGAAAGCAAAGGATAAATAGCCTCCTGACTCCCTGTATAGAAATATTTATTTCTAAAAGCCCCTGTCTTCCCCTGGGATGTCTTGCTGATAACCTGCTGTGCCTTGTTTCCTGTTACAAGCCAAATGGTGGGCCCCATGACCTCAATTGCATGCCATATAACCACACATTCTTCACACTTCCATGCTGGAAGCTAGGCCAGCGTGCAAAAAGTCACGTAGCCGATGGGGAGACTGGAGTTTGGGGTCACCTGACTGCAGAGGGAGTCTCCAGACGTCCAGCCTATCCCCACTTGCAACCATGACAACCAAGAATTGGCCACCCCCCTGCCCACTCGCAGTTGGCTGCCTGGCCACAGCTGGTTGTGACTGGAATGGGCCTATAACTGGTCATTCCCTATGAGAGAGTCTCTCTCTCTTGCTCTTGTTCTCTTCTGTGCTCTCTGCTGCTCTTGGGTTCTTGTTCCTGTTCGTGAGCTCTCTGCTCCCTGCTTGTTGGTTTATTGCACCAGGACATGTAGTCTCTGGGAGAACAGAGACCTGCTTGGTAACTGGAGCACATGGTGTGCAAAAATGGGCTTTCCCTTCAAGATCCCCTGGAACCCTGGACTGTAGATGTTCCTGACATGGAACTCTGTATGGAACAATGACTTTAGGCTACACTCCCCTTCCATCCTTCCAGCCAGAGGCAGCGCTCCGCTCCCTCCCAAATTCAGACCTACAGCAGAGACAGAATGAGGCGGCAAAGGGAGGGAGGCCGGCCTCCAGGTGGGACCTGGGGAGCCCCCGGGATCACAGCTCATCTCCAGATGACAGAGGTCAGTTCCCCTGGATGAAATGGGCACTTTGGATTTGTACCCCACTGAGGTCCCTGTCCTCCCCAGGTGCCACCCCCAGTCTCCAGGAATTTCCCAACCTGGATCTGGTAACCCTAAGGTGGCATGACCTGATGTGGACGGGATAGAGCGGGGTGCAGAAGAGAGTGACGAGGACGATTGAGGGCCTGGAGACCGAGAGGCCCCAGGAGGAAAGGCGGAGGGACTGATCATAGAATCATAGAACTGGAAGTCCGTCTAGTCCAACCCCCTGCTCAATGCAGGATCGGCCTAGAGTATCCCTGACACCTGTGTGTCCAGCCGCTGCTTCAAGACTGCCACGAGCAGGGGGTCATTTCCTGCAGGAGCGCACAGGAGCGGAGCTCCGGCAGTAAAGAGCCCGGGGGGCGGGCACATGCAACAAGCCCCGCCCCCAGCTCCCAGAAGCCCCGGGCCACGAGGAGCCTGCACCAAGGTTTATTCAGGTACAAGCTCTCCCTCCTCTGTGAGGGCAGATCTGCACGTCCCCCCCCCAAGAGCTAGCAATCCAAAACAGTCCAGGGGAGCCTGAGCGGTGGGTGTTGCCTTCTGACACACTTCCGGTGATGCCAGGGGGTGTGGCACATGCAAATGAGTTGTGCTAATGAGCTCCTGCACCTCTTTTTCTACGAAATGACCGCTGGCCAGGAGGTAATGTTCAGTCTGGAGAAGAGGAGGTTCAGTCTGGAAAAGAGGAGGTTGAGGGGGGACATGATGGCTCTCTCTCTCTCTCTCTCTTTGCATTTTGTGTGTGTGTGCCCCCGTGCCTGGAAGTCATGGCGACCTCTGGCAACTCCTACTGGGGCGTGGAGGACGTTCGGAGAAGTGGCTTGATGGCCTGCCTCTGCCTCCCGGCCCTGCTCAGCTTCCGAGATCTGACGAGATCGGGCTCGCCTGGCCCGTCCAGGTCAGAGTGACATGGTGGCTCCCTTGAAGGATCGGAAGGGCTGTCACTTAGAGGAGGGCAGGGAGCGGCTCCTCTTGGCAGCAGAGGAGAGGACTCGCAAGAATGGGTTGAAATTAAGGGCGGGGAGGTGCCGGTTGGAACTTAGGGAAACGTTTTTGACAGTCAGAAGTTGTGCCACAGAATGGGCTTCCTAGGGAGGTGGTGAGCTCCCCCACACTGGCAGTCCTTAAGCAGCAGCTGGACAAACCGTCGTCAGGGGTGCTCTTGGCTGACCCTGCATGGAGCAGCGGGTTGGACTAGATGACCTCTAGGGCTCCTTGCAACTCAATGATTCGATGATCCTTGCAAACAGAAAACGAGCCCGTGCTTGTTCTCGACTAGCAGGGAGTGTTGGAAAATGAGGATTAAAAAATGATACGCCCCCACCTGCTGCCTGAAACAGCACAGTCCGCTCTCCCATAGATCAGACCATACATGCGTGGTGGGGCGGATAATAATATCTCAGATGTAAGATCTCGGCTTATTTAAACCCAGCTCTAAAGGCCTGCTTGTTTAGATTGGCGAAAGTCCTTTCGTTTTAATTTGTTTCTTGGCCGTAGTGTCGTTTCCACCCCTAGTGATTTTCCCGAGGATTCGCTTTATCGATTTTACAGAGAGCTTCTTTTTAACTGTGGTTCCTTGTCTCGAGAATTAAGATAGGAAATGGCCTCATATTGAATCCAGCTCCATGAGTGTCGGCTCAGATGGAAAAGTGTTCTTCTGTGTCTTGGGCGGAGAAATGCCTTGCCCAATTCCCCTGACCCAAGATCTTTTAACTGAAAAGGCTGAGGATTGAAGCTGGAAACATCTTCGATTTGCCCGCTCCAGGTTGGGAAATGCCTGGAGATTTCGGGGTTGGAACTTGGAGAGGGCACGGTTTGGGTAGGGGAGGGACCTCAGCGTATAATGCCATAGAGTCCACCCTCCAAAGCAGCCATTTTCTCCAGGGAAATAAATAGCCTGGAGAGGAGACGTCCGAGAGGTGATATGATCACCATCATCAAGTACTTGAAGGGCTGTCCTATAGACGATGGAGCGGAGTCGTTTTCTGTTGCCCCAGCAGGTCGGACCAGAACCAACGGGTTGAAATTAAATCAGAAGGTGCAGGTTTACATTCCAACAGCACCTTGTCAGTATCACTATAGACCCACGGGACTCTAATAATTTGCCCATTTTGAATGAATCTTTTTCAAGGACCGTGACATATATATATAGAAGAAGAAGAGACTGGATTTATACCCTGCCCTTCACTACCCAAAGGTGTCTCAGAGCGGCTTACAAACTCCTTCCCCTTCCCCTCCCCACAACAGGCACCCTGAGAGGTAGGTGGGGCTGAGAGAGCTCTTGACAGAAACTGCTCTTTTTCAAGAAGAGCTCTTATCAGAACTACGGCTTACCCAAGGCCATCCAGCAGGTGCAAGTGGAGGAGTGGGGAATCCAACCCGGTTCTCCCCGATTAGAGTCCGCGCACTTAACCACGACACCAAACTGGCTCTCTTATATAAAGGACATAAGGCGCAATAATTTTTCTTTGTGAGCACAAAGGCTCTCAAGATAGCAGCATTGACTAGGGTCCCATCAGAACCCTTACGGCAAACATAATAACCTACCTAAGACAGCACATCTCTCAAACTCTATCAGGTACCTAGCTTGGACCCAGTGGCAGAGCATCTGCTTAGTATGCAGAAGGCACCAGGTTCAATCCCGGCATCTCCGGAGGAAAGGCTGAAGTAGCAGGTGAAGCAAAAGACCCGGGACCCGCGAGAGCGGCTGCCAGTCTGAGTAGACAATGCTGCCCTTGACGGATCAGTGGTGTGACTCAGTAAAAGGCAGCTTCATGTGTGCCTGTGCGTTCACTCGATACATCTGCCGTAGCGAGCTCTGAGTCACAAAACCCTCGGCTGGGATAGATGCCGTTCGCCTCTGAAGTGCCGCGGGACTCCCGTTTCACAGAAGAACGCGGCTCCCCCATCAGCTGTGGAAACGTGGGCTATAACGTCTTCTAAATAAATAGCTGGCGTTCGTGATTGCGAGAACAGAACAAAGCGGAGGGCGGTGGCAGGAATTTGAGACTCATTCCTCCAGACCCCCAGAGAGTGTGGGTTTAGAGTCGCCAACCGCTCCAGGTGGTGGCTGGAGATCTCCTGGGATTAGGCTTGCAGGGCTCCTTTTGTAGAAAAAGCCCAGCAGGAACTCATTAGCATAATAGGCCACACCCAACAGCAGAAACTCATAATAGGCCACACCCCTGACAGCACAGCTCATTAGCATGTTAGGCCACACCCCCATGTTACCAGAACTGTGGTCATCCAGCCACGCCCACCTTTTGCTTCTTATTCTGTTCACCTTGTTTGTTGTCAACACCCAGGGCTTTTTTTGGTAGCAGGAACTCCTTTGCATGTTAGGCCACACACCCCTAATGTGGCCAATCCTAATGAATTTCTGCTGTTGGGTGTGGCCTATTATGCTAATGAGTTCCTGCTGGGCGTGGCCAACTCGGGAGCCAGCCGGAACTCCCTTCCTGTGCGTTCCTGCCCAAAAATAGCCCTGGAGTTGCCAACCTCCAGGGGGCAACTGGAGGTCTCTCGCTATCACAGCTGATCTCCAGACGACCGAGCTCAGTCCCCCTGGAGAAAATGGCTGCTTTGGAGGGTGGGCTCTATATGCTGGGGGTCCTCCCCTCCCCAAACTTCGCCCTCCCCGGGCTCCACCCCAACAATTTCCAGGTATTTCCCAGTGCTGATTGCCACTTTGGAGTCAGGCAGCCATTTTTCTCCAGGACAGTTGGCCAGTGATGCTGAAGGCTTTTCGCCATCTTCTTGGGCGTGGAGCAGGAGGTCATTGGGTGTGTGTGTGTGGGGGGAGGTGTTTGTGAATTCCCTGCATTGTCCAAGGGGGCTGGACTAGATGACCTTGGAGATCCCTTCCGACTCTATGAGTCTATGAACTCAAGAGCTGGCAGCCCCACCTGGGTTCACAACTGCTCTGCAGGAAAAAGAGATCCGTTCCCCTGGAGAAAGTGGATGCTTCGGAAGGTGGGCCCTGTGGCGTTGTACCCCACTGAAGCCCCACCCCTCCCCAAACCCCGCCCTCCCCAGGCTCCACCCCCAAAATCTCGAGGTATTTCCCAAGTCCAAACTGGCAACCCTAGACAGAACTTCTGCGCAGGCCTCGATTACCGTAGTACAGGGCGTAGACGGTGGCCGAGCCCAGGAAAGCCCCCAGGATTTGAAAAGTGGAGAAAATGGGCAGCTTCCACCACGGACACTGGCTCAGGAGGCACATGGCTAGGGAGAAGGCCGGGTTCAGGTGCCCTCCTGGGGGAGAGAAACAGAAGGGAGGAGGCAAAAAGTTAAGAGAGGAAGCGGCCAGCCGCCCGTGGAGTCTGGCCTAACCCCGTTCCCCAAACTCAAGGACCCTTTTCTTTAACATAACAACAATGACATCGTTGGCAAGCAGTGGGCTGGTAATGCACATTCTTGGCAAATGAGATACGGCCCTCAAGAGCCTCAATTAGGAGCTTCTGGAGCTCTCGAGAAGCCGACTAAGAACAAGGGTTCCCAGACCCCTGGGGGCAGCAGGGGTTCCCAACCAGCTCCCTCCCCAGAACAGCTCCCTTACGCCCGGCGTGCCCGGCATGACGATGTCACCAGGAGGCGATGTCATCACACCAGGCACATCGTGCAGGGACGCTCTAGCACTTGGTTAAATACTCTATGGTGACCATAGAGTTCTTTGCCCAAATACTAGAGCATTTCCCATGTGACATGCCCAGTGCAATGATATCACCTCTGGGTGATGTCATTGCGGTGCGCCACAAAAATCCCGGGGAGCAACCTGGCGCCCCCTGCTGGCAGCCAGTAAGCACCTGGCAACCCTACTAAGAACTGAAGAGGACCCTGGTTGGATCAGACCTAGGCACCCGGAGATCTCCCGCTGTTCCAATTGATCTCCGGATGACCAAGATGGGTTCTCCTGGAGGAAATGGATGCTTTGGAGGGTGGGCTCTATCATGGCTTTATATCCTACTGAGGTCCTTTCCCTCCCCCAAACCCACCCCTCCCCAGGTTCTGCCTCCCAAATCTCCAGGTATTTTCCAGTCTAAAGCTGGCAGCCCTAATCAGACCAAAGGTCCTTCCTGTCCAGCATCCCCTTTCGCACGATGCCCGAGCAGATGTTTACGGAAGGCCCTGGAAACAGGGCACGGAGGCCAAAGTCTGCCCCTAGTAATGCCCCTGCAAGGAACCACCAGTTGGAGGTCGACTGCCTCTGAATATGGAGGTTCCGTTTAGTTATCACAAAGAACGTATTTCCCATCAGGCTGTCGAATTTCCATTTTTGAACCAACCAAACGAGCAGGAGTGTGGATTCTTTTCCACTAGTGAATTAGCTTTGAGCATCTGTTTTGTGCCCCACCCTGGATGGCGCAGGCTAGCCCGATCTCGACAGATCTTGGAGGTTAAGCAGGGTCAGTCCTGGTTAGCACTCGAATGGGAGACCACAAAGGAAGTCCATGGCTGCTACGCAGAGGCAGGCAACGGCAAACCCCTTTTGTTTGTCTCTCGCTTTGAAAACCCTACAAGGTCGCTAGAAGTCAGCTGCGACTTGATGGCAAAATAACACCACCACCCCTGTTTTGGCGGGGAGTATTCTAGGAGAAATGGTGTTACCCCTTTCCCTGCCGTGCCTCTTCTGCGATTTGAAATAGTCAATCGGAAGCTGCAGGTCATTCTGTGGTTGGGAAAAGCAAGGTCCTATACATGCCTTTCCCCCACACAGTGTGAATTGCTGCTTTTTATAGATTCAGGTGGGTAACCATGTTGGTGCGCAGCAACGGAACAAGGTTTGAGTCCAGGGACACCTTTAAGACCAACAAAGTCTAACTCTGAGTATAAGCTTTCGTGTGCAGGTCAATGTTCCTTCTAAGATATGGAGTCTTGTGAGCAAAAATTCTACCTTGTGAACTATGGGCATTAAAATTGTGAGCGAGCAATTTGCCTACTGCATAAGTCAGTTTGCTCTGGAGCCGTCCTTCCTGAGCTAAGACAAAAAAGTGTGAGCCGGAGGCTAAGAAACTGTGAGCTAGCTCACACTAACTCAGCTTGGAGGGAACACTGGGCAGGCACTCTTGAAGTATGCATGCATGCAAAAGCTTGTACCCAGAATTAAAGTTTTTTGGTCTTAAAGGTGCCCCTGGACTCAAACTGTGTTCTGTGTCTCTGAAGAAGTGTTCATGTACACGAAAGCTTAGATTGTGAATAAAACTTTGTTAGTCTTAAAGGTGCCACTGGACTCAGATTTCGTTCTACGTGTCTGAAGAAGTATGCATGCACGCAAAAACTTATTTGTTGTTGTTCAGTTGCACAGTCGAGTCCGACCCCATGGACCAGATCACGCTCAGGCCTTCCTGTCTTCCACCGTCAAGGACATCGAGGTCTTTCTTGTATAGTTCTTCTGTGTATTCTTGCCATCTTTTCCTAATCTCTTCTGCTTCTGTTAGGTCCCTACCATTTCTGTCCTTTATCATGGCCAGCTTGGCATGGAACGCTCCCTTGATTTCTCCAATTTTCTTGAAGAGATCTCTAGTCCTTTCCATTCTATTGTTTCCCTCTATTACTTTGCACTGTTCATTCAGGAAGGCCTCCTTACCTCTCCTCTCTGTTCTCTGGAAATCTGCATTCAGTTGGGTAGATCTTTCCTTTTCGCCTTTGCCTTTCGCTTCCCTTCTTCCCTCTGCTATTTGTAAAGCCTCATCAGACAGCCACTCTGCTTTCTTGCCTTTCTTTTTCTTTGGGATGGTGGTGATTGCTGCCTCCTGTACAATGTCACGAACCTCCTTTGTTGGTCTTAAAGGTGCCAGTGGACTCTTAAGTTTGTTTTGTGTCTCTGAAGAAGCGTCCCTGCACACGGAAGCTTATACCCAGAGGAAAACGTTTGTTGGTCTTAAAGGTCTCAGTGGACTAGAAAGTTGTTCTGCTACTTCAGACCAGCACGGCTACCCACCTGAAGTTAGTTAGTTAGTTAGTTCCAGTCTGCCTGCCTCATTGAGACTCAAGGCAGATGACAAGTATAAGTCAAGTACGATCAATCAGATGGGACACCCGATAAACAAAGGAAGAAAGGTTGAACCACAGAAATCTAAAAACAGGGTTAAAACAGTGCTATTCAGGGCCGGCTCGCTCACTAGGCGAACTAGGCATTCGCCTAGAGCGCCCCGGCCCTTAGGGGCGCCAAACTGCACCCACTCCCCGCCAAAAGCACCCCTGCTGGCTCTGACGGGGGGCGCATGGGGGGGCGCCATTAGGGATCCTCGCCTAGGGTGCAAAATATGCTGGGGCCAGCCCTGGCGCTATTTAATTGTGAAAAGGCTTGAGAGAGGGGGGCCTTGAACATCCATTCCCCAGCCACCCTCTCCTGATTTCCTAAGTAGCCCTCTAGGGTAGCAACTTCAACCATATAAGATTCTACTCCCAAATCTTTTGTGCGCCATCTAGACATGACATTTTCATGGGTTCACCATGGGCACCTACTGCCTCCTCAGTTTCCCAGCAGAAAATCCATTTAGAAGTGTCGCACTTGAAGGGCATGACTTGGATCAGGACTGTGAGCGGGGCGGGGGGGGAGACTCCTGCCTTCCTCCCTGCACTGTTTCTCCAAGCCGAAAGAGCCTAAGGAGGGCAGGTTGCCCTGCCAGAGCGCTGCGTGTTTCAGAAAACAGCATGGGAGGGAAGGCCGGAGTCCCCCCCCCCCCACCGCACTCTGCAGTCCCAGGTTCTCTGGATGAGAAACTGCTTGACCTGAGGTTCTCAAATGGTGCTGCAGTTTACAGAATCGCCCAACTCTATCGGCAGCCTAGCTGTCACGAAGCAAAAATGTACTACGGAGAATAATTATCTAGGTACCAAATAAATTATAAATCTATAATGGAGCCTTTGATTATTATTTTTTTAACTTTTATCTTAGAAAGACATACCAACACAGGTCTTAAAGGGACACACCTTCATAGATTCATAACACACCCTCATAATTATATAATTATATAGATACCAAATACATTATAAATCTATAATGGAGTCCTTGAATATATTTTTTTTTACTATTATCTTAGAAAGACACACCAATACAGGTCTTAAAAGAGACACACCTTCATGGATTCATGACACACCCTCATGGATTCATAACAATAACCCTGTAGAAACAACGTCAGTCTGGCTGATGGTACTTTTGTCATTTGCAGACTTCAGTATATTCACATACAGCCCTGATTGTATTTGAATGTACTGACATTTTGCAAAAGACAAAAGTGCCATTAACCAGACTGATGTTGTTGCTACATGGTTATTGTTACGAATCTATGAGGGTGTGTCTTTTAAAGACCTATGTTGGTATGTCTTTCTAAGAGCATAGTAAAAAAAACATTCAAGGGCCCCATTATAGATTTATAATTTATTTGGTATCTATATAATTATTCTCTACAGTACATTCTTGCTTTGTATATGAACTATATCCATAGTTCTCCTGAAGTTTGGTGTAGTGTTTAGGAGTGCAGACTCTAATCTGGGAGAACCGGGCTCGATTCTCCACTCTTCCACATGCAGCTGCTGGTGTGGCCTTGGGTCAGTCACAAGTTCTCTCAGAACTGTTCTCTCGCGAGCAGTTCTCGAAAGATCTCTCTCAACCCCACCTACCTCACAGGCAGTGTTCAAGCTGAGGTGGTGTGAGCTAGCTCACAGTTTTTTTTAGCCTCCGGCTCACACATTCTTGTCTCAGCTCAGGAAGGATGGCTCCAGAGCAAACTAACTTATGCAGTAGCCAAATCGCCCGCTCACGGCTTTGATGCCAGTAGCTCCCAAAGTAGCATTCTGGCTCACAAGACTCCACAGCTTAGGAGGAACATTGCTCACAGGGTGTCTGCTGTGGGGAGGGGAAGGGAAAAGAGACTGTAAGCTGCTCTGAGACTCCTTTGGGTAACAAAGGGCGGGGTATAAATCTAATCTTTTCTTCTTCATTGTGGAAATGGCAGGCACTAACATGCACAAGCATGCACATGCCACATTATGAGTGTTTAGAAATAACCCCGCATGTAAACTATTTTTTAATCATTCAGAGCAGGGGTCACCAAGGTACTCATTTGCATATTAAGCGACACACCCCTAATGTAGCCAATCCTCCAAGAGCGTACAGTAGCCCCTGTAAGAAGAGCTCTGTAAGCTCTTGGAGGATTGGCTACATTAGGGGGTGTGGCCTAATATGCAAAGGAGTTCCTGCTACAAAAAGAGCCCTGCGTCATGGGCACCATGGCGCCCTGCCAACACCTTTCTTGACACCCGCCAAGTGTTTTTAGAAAGTGGGTGGGGCCAACGGGGGCTCGTGCCCAGCAGGACTTGAAGATCTGATTGGCTAGGCTTCCTCGGAGTGGACGGCTCCACCTCCGGTGGCAGCCATTTTGTGTTTGTGCCTACCACGCTGGGTCCGAATTCCAAATGTGCTGCCCGCAGGGTCAGAAAGGTTGGGGACCCCTGGTTCAGAAGAAGCTTGTAATCAGGGGCCCAAACATGATTAGAACGGTGTTCGGGTTACCCAACACTAATTTAAATTTGTGACACAGTTCACTCTTATACCTCCCAAACTTTCTTTCAGAAGTGAAAAGGAGGAGGAGGAAGAAATTGGATTTATACCCCGCCCTTCACTCGGAGTCTCAGAGCGGTTTACAGTCTCCTATCCCTTCCCCTCCCCACAACAGGCACCCTGTGAGGTAGGTGGGGCTGAGAGAGCTCTTTAAAGGACTGCTCTTGAGAGAACAGCTCTGAGAGAACTTGTAACTGACCCAAAGTTACACCAGTTGGCTGCATGTGGAGGAGTGGGGAATCAAACCTGGTTCTCCCCGATTAGAGTCCACGCTCCTAACCACTACACCAAACTGCTTGCCTTTGGACAAGTGGCCCCTATACCTCTGCATGAGCTCATGTTCTGAGTGGGCATCCTGATGTAAAAAGGGGGCATGCCCGGCATGTAAGAACCTCAGAAGAACCATGCTGGATCAGATCAAAAGCCCACCTAGTCCAGCATTCTGTTGACACAGTGGCTGACCATCAAGCTCACAAGCAGGAAGAGTGCAACAGCAGCGTTATCCTGCCTGTCTTCCAGAGTAACTCATTTAAAGAGGCATACTACCTCTGATATGGGAGGGAGCAGTGACTCATGCAGAGAGACACCGGCACTCCTCCTTGGGAGAATGCAATTTGTGCTTCAGGAGGGATGGGGAGATCCAGAGACACAGCAGCTCCCACCTCCCGCAGAGGGAGGGAGGCAAGAACAGAGCAATCAATCATGCAGAGAGACAGCAGGCAGTCACTCCTGTGAAGGAGTGATTTGGTTTAATCTTTCAGGCTGCTCATTTGAATAATAGAGGAGCATTATGGGAATTGAATCATGCCAGGTAGGTGGGTGGGTCCTTCACTCATCCATCTTGGGGGGCCCAGGCGGTTTCCCCAACATCGCCAATCGCAAGAAACAGCCAATGCTCCCTCTAAGCTGTGGAGTCCTGTGAGCAAAAATTCTACTTTGCGAGCTACTGGCATTAAAGTTGTGAGCAGGTGATTTGGCTACTGCATAAATTAGTTGGCTCTGGAGCCCTCCTTCCTGAGCTATGACAAAAATGTGTGAGCCGGAGGGTAAAAAACTGTGCCCTAGCGTCACACTAACTCAGCTTAGAGGGAACACTGGTGGCTACACTCTTCATGCAGCTAGTGTGTCCACAAATGCATGCGTAGAAGCTGCCCAGCAACTGTGGAACTCCCCCTTCGCAGAGATTATTTGCAAGGTGACCTAGGGAATCTTCCAGAAGCACGGTGCCATCTTTTGCACAGCTTTTTTTAGAGACCAGGTTTGTCAGTCAAAGGTCTGGGGAAAGGGTTCAGGACTATGTTTCCTTCTAGCTTTTCTGCTTTGTATCCAGGGCTCTTTTTGTAGAAAAAGCTCAGCAGGACCTCATTAGCATAATAGGACACACCCAACAGCAGAAACTCATTAGCATATTGGGCCACACACCCCGACAGCACAGGTCATTAGGCCGCACCCCCATGTTACCAGAAGTGTGGTTATCCAGCCACACCCACCTTTTGCTTCTTATTTTGTTTACTGTGTTTGTTGTCAAAACCCAGGGCCTTTTTTTGTAGCAGGAACTCCTTTGCATGTTAGGCCACACACCCCTACTGTAGCCAATCCTAATGAGTTTCTGCTGTTGGGTGTGGCCTATTATGCTAATGAGTTCCTGCTGGGTGTGGCCAACTTGGGAGCCAGCCGGAACTCTGTTCCTGTGCGTTCCTGCCCCAAAATAGCCCTGTTTGTCTCTATAATCAGGAAAGCTTACGGCCAAGATGACCGCAGTTAAGAAACAAAGTCTGAGTCCGGTGGCACCTTTAAGACCAACAAAGCTTCAGTCAAGCTTTTGTGTACACGGTTTTGAGCCCGCTTATGAGCTTTTGCGTACACGCAGGATCTGAGCGACAGTCCCTCTATCCGAGCACCTGTAAGCCAGCGCTCCCTCTAAGCTGTGGAGTCTTGTGAGCAAAAATTCTACTTTGTGAGCTACTGGCATTAAAGCTGTGAGTGCGTGATTTGGCTGCTGCAGAAATTAGTGTGCTCTGGAGCCCTCCTTCCTGAGCTAAGGCAACAATGTGTGAGCCGGAGGTTAAAAAACTGTGAGCTGGCTCCACACTCACTCAGCTTAGAGGGAACACTGCCTGTGACTAGCCAATAGGGCTGCCAGCTCCGGGTTGGGAAATCCTTGGCGGTTTGAGGGTTGGAGCCTGGTTTTGGGGAGGGGTGGGGCGTCAGTGGGGCACAGTGCCACAGAGTCCACCCTCCAGAGCAGCCATTTTCTCCAGGGGAACTGATCTTTGGTTGTCTGGAGAACAGTTGTAAGCAGGGGTCGTTTCATAGAAAAAGAGCTAGGGGAACTCATTAGCATAACTCATTAGCATATGCCACACCCCCTGACGTCACCGGAAGTGTGTCATAAGGCCACACCCCCTGACATCACCGGAAGTGTGTCATAAGGCCACACACCCTGACATCACCGGAAGTGTGTCATAAGGCCACACCCCCCGCCCCCAACGGTCCCAGCCGCCGACACCGGCCTTGCAGCTCCACTGCCGAGCCCCATGAGGGGCCCAGCGGTGGACTCGCTTCGTCATGTTCCCCGCCCCCCGTACCTCACCCGGGGGAACTGCGATCCCCCGCGATCCCCCCCCCGAAATGACCTCTGGTTGTAAGAAGGGGAAAGGAAGTCTCACCCTCTGAAATCTCTCCCCAAATCCTCCCCCCACAGCCTCTGCCCCCAGGAATCCCCCAGACCAGAGCTGTTGGCAAAGGGTTGCCAGCCTCCAGGTGGGGCCTGGAGATCTCCTGCTTTTACAACGGGTCCCCAGGTGACAGGGATCAGCTCCCCTGGAGAATATCCAAACAACAAGGGGAAAAGACTACTGTCACAGGCGTTCCCAAATGTACAAGTCCCGCTAGTAGAAAACATCATCAAAGACTGCCAAAACAATATATTCAACAATTATAAAGTTGGTGGTGTCACAACAACATGAATGCATACTGTAACCAGTGTTCCCTCTAAGCAGAGTGAGTGTGACGCTAGGTCACAGTTTTCCAGCCTCCGGCTCACACATTTTTGTCTCAGCTCAGGAAAGATGGCTCCAGAGCAAACGAACTTAAGCAGCAGCCAAATCGCTTGCTCACAACTTTAATGCCAGCAGCTCACAAAGTAGAATTTTTGCTCACAAGACTGCACAGCTTAGAGGGAGCACTGACTGTAACTATAATAAGGCATAAGATGCAATATTTCCTCCTTTGAAGATAAGACATAAAGTCCATGTAGTCAGTGTTACTTGATAGGAGGAGAACCTACGATACGCTCCTTACACTGTGGTCTGTTGAAATTGCTGAAATCAGGTTCCGCTTACACCGCTGGCAAACTGAAGAAGTCGAAGGAAACGCATCTTCCAAGTATCTAGAATGGGCGTCTTTGCAAAGGCTGCTTGGAAAATGTTATGACTTATGTGGACGCCTCCTATCAAGTTACACTGACTACATGGACTTTACGTCTTATCTTCAAAGGAGGAAATATTGCATCTTATGCCTTATTATAGTTACAGTCAGTGCTCCCTCTAAGCTGTGGAGTCTTATGAGCAAAAATTCTACTTTGTGAGCTACTGGCATTAAAGCTGTGAGCAGGTGATTTGGCTACTGCCTAAATTAGTTTGCTCTGGAGTCGTCCTTCCTGAGCGAAGACAAAAATGTGTGAGCCGGAGGGTAAAAAACTGTGAGGGAACACTGGTTGCACAGTATGCATTAATGTTGTTGTTGTGACACCACCAACTTTATAATGGTTGAACATATTGTTCTGGCAATCTTTGATGGTATTTTCTACTAGTGGGATTTGTATATTTGGGAACCACGGGAGAAAATGGCTGCTTCGAAGGGCGGACTCTATGGCCTTGTACCCTGCTGAGGCCCCTCCCCTCCCCAAACCCCGCCCTCCCCAGGCTCCGCCCCCAAAGTCTCCAGGTATTTTCCAGCCCAGACCTGGCAGCCCTACGTTGGCATCAATAGCTGGCAGGAGGTGGCTAAGTCACAGCACAGGTAATGTCAGGAGCTGAGGCTGGAAGAGATAAGAGATAAGAGCCTTGGAGGCGATAAAAGCGCCCACAGCTGGTAGAGAATGACTCAAGTGCCTGGTCTGGACAGTTTCCAGGATCGATCACAGCTCTCTCGCCCCCACCTCACCTGAGATGCCGCCTGAAACGTGAATAGCTACCATCACGCTGATGCCGCTGGCCAGGGCCGAGCTCATATAGCCACCCTTTGTCCCCTCGCTGGTGACAGACTGGGCCGAAGCGCTGACCGTTATCACCTGGGAGAGGGAAAGGGGAATGAAACGCCACGTGAATCTCACCCGCAGCCTGCCTGGCACCCGGGGGGGGGGCTAGTTCCGGGTTGGATAGAAAATACCTGGAGATATAGTGGGTGGGGCTCGAAGAGGGCGGAGTTGGAGTAGAATGCGACAGAGGCCGCCTCCCAGATCGGCCATTTTTTTCAGGTGGACTGATGTCTTGGACTGGAGGTGGCAACCCTACGGGTGCCCCTATCGCCCAGGGTGGTGTGGTGGTTAAGAGCAGCGGACTCTAATCTGGAGAACCGGGTTTGATTCCCCACTCGTCCACGTGCAGCCGGCTGGGTGACCTTTGGCCCGTCATGGCTCTCTCAGAGCTCTGTCAGCCCCACCTCTCTCACAAGAGTGTCTGTTGTGGGGAGGGGAGGGGAAGGAGATTGTAAGCCGCTCTGAGATGCCTTCGGGGAGTGAAGGACGGGGTATAAATCCAATTTCTTTTTCTTCTTCTGGGGCAGGATTTCTCAATCTGGACACAGGACGTGGGCCTTCGGTTAATTCGGCCAGAAATCCCTCCCCTATGCGGAGAGTCTAGGGTTGCCATCTCTGGGTTGGGAAACCTGCAGAGATTTGGGGTGCAACTTGGGGATGGTGGGGCTTGGGAAGGGGAGGGTCCCCAGCAGGGTATAACGCCACCCTACAAAGCAGTTGTTTTCTCCAAGGGAACTTCATCGTCTGAAGATCAATTATTTTTCCTGGAAGTTCTCCCAGTCCCGCCAGGAAATTGGCAACCCTAGCAGGGACCCCAATCCAGAAGAAGAAGAAGAAGAAATTTGATTTCTACCCTGCCCTTCACTACCTGAAGGAACCTCAGAGTGGCTTACAATCTCCTTTCCCTCCTCCTCCCCACGACAGAAACCCTGTGAGGCAGGTGGGGCTGAGAGAGCTCTCCCGAGAACTGCTCTTGAGAGAATAGCTCTGAGAGAACTTGTGACTGACCCAAGGTCATCCAGCCAGGTGCAAGTGGAGGAGTGGGGAATCAACCCCGGTTCTCCCAGATTAGAGTCTGTGCTCCTAACCACCACATCAAACTGGCTCCACTTGGGATTTCAGTTCTTTCCAGCATCTGCCATTGCTGAGGCACTCCAAGGAAGGAGGAGGGAAGAGAAAAAGAAGAGGAGATTGGATATATAGCCCACCCTTCCCTCGGAGTCTCAGAGCGGCTTACAAACTCCTTCCTCTCCCCACAACAGACACCCTGTGAGGCAGGTGGGGCTGAGAGAGCTCTCCCGAGAACTGCCCTTGAGAGAATCGCTCTGAGAGAACTTGTGACTGACCCAAGGTCACATCAGCAGGTGCAAGTGCAGGAGTGGGGAATCAAACCCGGTTCTCCCAGATTAGAGTCCACGCTCCTAACCACCACACCAAACTGGCTCCACTTGGGAGTTCACTTCTTTCCAGCTTCTGCCATCGCTGAGGCCCTCCAAGGAAGGCGGAGGGGCAGCCTGTCACCCTGCTTATTGTGCCCAGATTGGCTTGGCAAAGAAGGAAGTCTTGTGTTGAATTTTTGTCTTTTGCATCCTTCGTTTTTGTTTCCAGCAGCCCTTGTTGGGAGCTAATTTTGGATGACGAGTGGAACGAAAACTCATAAAAGAGCCCTCCTGCTGCAGCAGAAGGTAAAAGGAGGACGGATGCTCTTACCCAGGGCTTCTTCTTTATTTTTGGAAAAAGAGGTGCCGGAACCAAGGCTCCCTCTAAGCTGTGGAGTCTTGTGAGCAAAAATTCTACTTAGTGAGCTACTGACATTTAAGTTGTGAGCCAGCAATTTGGCTGCTGCATTAATTAGTTTGCTCTGGAGCCGTCCTTCCTGAGCCGAGACAAGAAATGGGTGAGCCGGAGGCTAAAAAACTGCGAGCTGGCTCACATGAACTCAGCTTAGAGGGAACACTGGCCAGAACGCTCAAGAGGGAAATGAGGTCTTCAGTCCATATACTGGAAACTCATGAGCTTTTAAACATTTCAGAAGGAATTTTGTAGAAATGGTTCTGGAACTCCGTCCCGGCGCGTTCCCCGGGGGGGGGGGGGGGAGCCCCAATCCACA